GGCCAAGTTTGGACAACACTGCCTTAAACTTTAAGACCTACCAGCAAAAAAGCTAACATTTACCAATCCCCATATCTTGTTTGTAAACGAATCCCCCAAACTGACCTGATTTAGAACAAAGGTCCACTCAGACATTTGACCTGAGGTCTGAGAGAGTTTCATGTAAAGTATATCACACCCATTCCAGTGATAGGCACACCTACATATATTGTGCTTGGATAGCCTTTCCCTACCTGGGCAGCCTCCAGATGTGTCAGTTTCAACTCTCAGAATTCCCCGGTCACTATGAGAATTCTAGGAGTTGACATCTGCACATCTGAAAGGCAACCAGATTGGGGAAGGCTGCCTAATACAAAAGTGTATGTGGAGGGACATCAGTAGCCATGCATGCCATGTGAGGCATGGAAAAGGTGCACAGATTGTCCATCATCCATAGAATACTTCATATCCTTGAAGTAATGTTGAAGAAGCTGTAAAAGCTGACAGTGTTATTCGGGTTATGTGAACAGAGTCTGTATTATTTCCAGGAAACAAAGATCATTTACATGAAGACAACTGGGCAATGTGAAAAAACAAAAGCTTGTTTGATTTTGTTTGGTTTGTATTTTTTGATTATTCTTATATCCAATCAGTTTGCACATATGCAGAGGGATACAATGACTGATGTTTATGTCAGTAGGTAGTCTCTACACATTGCTATAAATTGAAATGTTCCGTACAAACTAATCAGGCACAAATATGTTGTGTGGCCACAGCATTTCCATAAGCCACACCAGAAACTGTGAAGGCACTGCATGTTGAACTCAGATACAGATAGATGACAGATGGATAGATAGACAGACAGACAGACAGATGATAGATAGATAGATAGATAGATAGATAGATAGATAGATAGATAGATAGATAGATAGATAGATAGATCGATCCACCTCTAAATAAGAAGGCATTGTAATTTCATTTCGCATTACCCTTTCCAAGGAATAAGGAAAAAATCCTTCATATAAACACTGAAATCACATAAGTTTAAAATTTTCAGAAAAATAACTTTAATCTCATGACACCTTAAAGACTAACAAATGTATCCCATAAACTTTCATGAATTACAGCCCACTTCTAATGAAGTAAACAGGTGTCCTTGAACCCTTTCTGCAATAATGGCTGCATTCGCACGATGTAATTAACTAGGTCATGAGCAGGATTACTGTACTTTGCAGATACCTACACCCAGACAGCTGTGTGTTTAGAAAGGGGAGCTTGAACCACAGAGACCTGGTTTGGTTTGGATTAAAGTATTTTCCCACCTCATGAGCCTTATCATGGAACATCATAACCCAGTCAAAGACAGGGCAGTTACCCAGTTCTGCCTAATCAGTCCTCCAAGGAAAAGAGTTAGTGTTCTAGAGCAACTAGATAGACTTCCATGACTAAACTCACTGCCAAAGGCTTGACAGCCACCAACCTTGCAAGGGAGGGAATCTGAAAGGAGACAACAGCAGGGACAAGCAACCACAGTGAGTTGGAGAGCTTGGAGCACAGAAGTCATTTTTATTTCCTTTCCCTTACAAACTTACCACCCCCTGAAGCTTTTCCAGCACTTTCCTGCTACAAGGTTGATGGGATATTAGGCACTTCTTGGAGGATGTGGGAAAGGATCCTGCATTTGAAAAAAGGCCATTGTTGACTTACAGCGGTGCTTAAAAGTTTGTGAACTCTTTTTGTGTGTTTGTAGCTTTGGATCCTTTTCTTCAATGAATAAATGAACAAGTATCATGTTTTTACTCGGTTGTTTAACTGGGTTCTCTTTATCTAGGTTTAGGACTTGTGTGGAGAACAGGTCACGTTTTAGGTTATATTTATGCAGAAATATTGAGAATTCAAAAGGGTTCACAAACTTTTAAGTGCCACTGTAAGTACTGTGATTGTCTGTTGCCAGAACCATTGACAGTTCAACATACTACACAAATACAGTTTGTTAGTCTTTAAGCTAATGCAGTGTTTCTCAACCTTAGCAACTGTAAGAAGGGTGGACTTCAACTCCCAGAATCCCCCAGCCAGCATGCTGGC